TGTGTATTGGGTTTTTACAGACGTGTTTCAATCAGATATGATTATTTACGTCTGGGACCGACCTTTAAACGTCACCATCCGAAAGACGTGACTCAGTTTCGAACCTGCGTCCTCGGCTGAATCAGTTTGTAACTTCCACTTTTTAGCTGGATTACAGGCGCACGCCACACACGCCACAACGCCTAGTTGTGGCGTGTGTGTGTGTATTGGGTTTTTACAGACGTGTATCAATCAGATATGATTATTTACGTCTGGGACCGACCTTTAAACGTCACCATCCGAAAGACGTGACCTGCGTCCTCGGCTGAATCAGTTTGTAACTTCCACTTTTTAGCTGGATTACAGGCGCACGCCACAACGCCTAGTTGAAGGACCGCAATGGCTTCTCGCTGCAAGCAATAAAGAAATATATCGTTACCAATTGATTTATATAGACATTTTTAAAACATTTATTATTCTGGTTAGGTTTCCAAAAATTACATAAACATTGATATAACTCCACTTTCCAATATCAAATTGAAACAAACCATATATCAAATGAAAGCACTAGTTTTATTCTATAAAACTAAACAAGAGAAAACAAGTAATTATTAATGGTAGAAAAGTAATTACACTAAAACTGTCAAAAACATGCACAATCGAACATTCTTAAAATTAACACGTGACTTAGGCGTCGTATATTTAACCTGAATTACGCCATCTACGCCGAAATAACTATCTACGAAATGAAACCAATTTCGTGACAATATATTCCCATGACTTAGACATTATCTTTCCTGAACCACAACGAGCTACCCCCCTCCACCCCTGTCTTACTCAGTATATCCCCCTATTTTTTTCTTTTAACGAATAAATAGATCCTGGTTTCTGGGAAATGAGATCTTCTTTTTATGGCGTTTTAGAAGAATATTTATTTTGACTATGTTTTCTTTTATGAAAATCGGATGGTGATGTTGGATATCCCCGAAAGTTATGTAGCTTTTATTTTATGTCCACATGTACAGAAGCGACTAAATCATTCGTACCCGTACCAATTGTAAGTGTGTGAACAAATAGTTCGTCCTAATTTATGTTTCTTGATAATGTGACATATTGATGCTTACATTAAAAAGGCCCAAATTCAACCTTTCATTCATGAGTTACGAAAACAAACACAACCCAGAAATATCAAATTTAACAGGGATATGAATACTTTGTTGTTCACTGTATGCGACATGGACCATATTGTGACTAATCAACTTGATACGTCATAAGCATGTGAAGTGAAACATCAATAGAGATCATAATTGGCACGTCAACTAACGTGTGAGTATGCTTACTAGACCAGCTAGGAGTTTGAAACAGATAATTGATATTTACTCAATTTCAATCTCGGGTACAAAAGGTCGAGTGTGTGGGCGTACGAGTTCGGTGACCAAGGAAATATTTATATTATAAGAATCGGCCAGATTAAGCTGGGCCTACGAAATCGTTGATAACGCCATCTTCGGCGTCTTGCAGCAAGTGTAGTGAACCTTTATAAGCACCGACCAGATTCTCCAAGGTTGGCCGGACGACCAGCAGTCGACCAGCGAAGAACAGACGCACAGAGTTTCCAAGCTAGGTACTCTTTCTACTCGACTACCTTGATTGATTCAACTATTAAAGAACCAGACCATGCAGGCGTAAATGGTAACATTTTACTGAAGGCCAAAACGTAGAACCAACAACAACTAAGTAATATACTGCTATCTTCAATGATTAGGCAGAGAAGCGAAAAAATAAAAAGAAGCATAATCAATGTCTTGTCTACTAAGCCACTACTAACTCTGTATAGCATTTGCAAAGCTTTGCATCTCGTTTTGCTTCAATACAAGACAAGCTGTGATGAGAGTAAACACCGATATAAGGTTAGGCCTACATGATTATTGAACTTTATAATCTTCTTTTGAAATCTTTATTTCGTTAGAATAATTATAGCGGTATGGATAGTGTTGGTATTGGGTTGGCATTTCCTATGTTGACCAACAATTTAGGGTTGCACTTTGTTCATGTTATAAGTTTATTAAAAACATAGAAGTGAACATGTAATTTATAACTCTGACAACTTCACATTAGAGTTTTGAAGTTGATGGTTATTGTGTTGCCCTCTTCTGAGAGCATTTACCATTTAACTCTTCATAATGCCTTGAATTGTACAATGGGAGTTGTAACGTGTGCATGCATGCTTCCCCTTTCTTTCTCTCTCTCCTCCTCTCCCCTGTTTAGTTCTCTCTTCCGTACTCTCTTTCTCTTTCTCTCTCTCTCTCCCTCTTTAGTTCTCTCTTCATTACTCTCTATTTCTTTCTATTTCTCTCACCATTCCCCCTCCCTCATTTTAAATACATTTCTCTTCAATACACACAAATATCTCTCTCGCAAATGCTCCTCTCCGTTACATGTATTATCATGTATTTGTAACCCCCCCCCCCCCCTCCCCCTTCAAACCTTCAAATCTATGTCCCGTCCATCTGGTGTTAAGTACATGCCTGTTCCCGTTGATGACAATGGGTTACATTATGACTGTATAATAATTATACCCTCCCCGCACCTTGATTAACTTTCGAAAAGACTTCACACATGAAAGAGATATCAATGCCAGACGTATATTCCAATGATTTATTAAGATTTATTTGGGCAAACTCTATGATTCTCTTGCAAGTAAAATGATATGAAGCTGATGAACGATCCGGTAGAGAAATAGACATTAGTGATATATTGAGGAAGACAATTGTTTTAGTAGCTTACATATTCTAAATGAAATGAAAAGTTATTGAACTTTATTTCTTACATAATTTTCAGAGTATCATCTACATATAAATTTCCTTGCCATTGTAATATAAATGATGATAATTGCATACAACCTAAAATATTAAATATAATTTCTATCATCAACTAACATTTGCCAAGTGCTATACAGCAAAACATACATTTGCAATTCGAGGATACACAGACATCAAGAGTTGCTTGATTTAGTTTGCTAGCCAAGCCCATATGACATTTTGCCCGCAAATACGTCTTCATACTGTTCATGCGATTATTGTTTATTTACGTCTATTTACGTTCAATGCTAAGCGCATTTCTGTATATACAGAGTACTAACGATAGGTGCAATAAGTGCAAAGTAATACATGTTCATCTCTTCAGTGTTTTTGTTATTAACATATCAAGAATTTACGGAAGTTCCTTTCAGAGTTAATATTTGCATTCCCTGTGTGTGACCACATCTATGTACAGCCAAATGAGTTTCTGTTAATATTATAGTAATAAGCCATCTGATTATAATGTTCTACCGTATTAGCCGACATCTATCAGGTCTACATCTAAGTCTTCTTTTATAATATGTGTAATTCAAAACAGTTAAAGATATTTTTGAGATCTGGTCAAGAAACTGTCTGAAAAAAATAAGTGACTCTTATTTTAAATACTATAATTTCAAAATGCCGGTATATACAGAAATAACAACGAGCGTTGTAGCTTTTCCACCTGAAATAATTCGATTCTACTGCTTCAAATCAAGCTTTCTTTTGAAAAGTACAGTGAAATGGAAAAAATAATATTATAGGATTGATCAAGCATAATATTTTGTTGACAGATGTGTAAAGATAAATTAAAATTGCTCCGGTTATAATAAATGACTATTGTAATAACTACTAAAATTTAATCAAATTTCTATTTCCAGATATTTTGCCAAAAAGAAAATTTAAATCTACATTAAAAAACATCCCGCTCTGCATGCAATTCGTGTAATATTTACAAAAATTAACAATGCTGAAATTATACATGCTGTGTTTGGATACAATATGGTTCGGTTAATGATTATGAAGGTTATGTTTCTGACTCTTTTCAAATATGCAGGCAGTAGATAATGTATTTTTAAAAAGTCAACTGATTTACTTTTTTTCGCTTCCGACGTCTTACGTCCACATACGCTTCATCAGGCTGACCACGCCGACGTTCCTCGACCACGTCACCGTGTTCATGAGTCAACAATCATTTGGCGCTAAAGACCAGTCACCCTGATGAAGGGTATCGAAGTGGACCTGGGCCCTGTTTCATAAAACTTGATATCAATAACAAGTTACAAGCTACTGTTATAAGCTACTGAAATCAAGGCATCTGATTGGCTGAGAGCAAACTTGATATTAATAACAAGTTACAAGCTACTGTTATAAGCTACTGAAATCACGGCATCTGATTGGCTGAGAGCAAACTTGATATCAATAACAAGTTACAAGCTACTGTTATAAGCTACTGAAATCACGGCATTTGATTGGCTGAGAGCAAACTTGATATCAATAACAAGTTACAAGCTACTGTTATAAGCTACTGAAATCAAGGCATCTGATTGGCTGAGAGCAAACTTGATATCAATAACAAGTTACAAGCTACTGTTATAAGCTACTGAAATCACGGCATTTGATTGGCTGAGAGCAAACTTGATATCAATAACAAGTTACAAGCTACTGTTATAAGCTACTGAAATCAAGGCATCTGATTGGCTGAGAGCAAACTTGATATCAATAACAAGTTACAAGCTACTGTTATAAGCTACTGAAATCACGGCATTTGATTGGCTGAGAGCAAACTTGATATCAATAACAAGTTACAAGCTACTGTTATAAGCTACTGAAATCAAGGCATCTGATTGGCTGAGAGCAAACTTGATATCAATAACAAGTTACAAGCTACTGTTATAAGCTACTGAAATCACGGCATTTGATTGGCTGAGAGCAAACTTGATATCAATAACAAGTTACAAGCTACTGTTATAAGCTACTGAAATCAAGGCATCTGATTGGCTGAGAGCAAACTTGATATCAATAACAAGTTACAAGCTACTGTTATAAGCTACTGAAATCACGGCATTTGATTGGCTGAGAGCAAACTTGATATCAATAACAAGTTACAAGCTACTGTTATAAGCTACTGAAATCACGGCATTTGATTGGCTGAGAGCAAATGTATCATACAAAATTAAGCATTTGTTATAGATAAACAGTTTTATCAAACGGGCTCCTGAAACGTCGCAAGCTAAAATAATATAAGTATTAGGCATTGTTTTCTATTTAGAGGAAGCAAGTAACTTGACTTGATGAAGATTCTCTGGGGATTCTTAAAAACTGAGTGCTTTCTGGGAAACATCCATTATTATCTTTACGAGGAACAGAAGCAATATTTTCTCCGGGAATGTATCAATAAGAACGAGTTGAGAAATCAGATCTTCTTCATTACTTATGATTCCACCTACATGGCTGTTATCCGGCGATTGGTCAAGATGTTGACTTCTACTTCCATTTGTCGAGTCCTCCTGGGTTTTGGAAGCCGTGTCTCCTGTATGCCCATCTAGAGGAGTGTTGTAACTGCTTGCTGTAGCTTCCTGAAGTACCTGTATGTCAGTGTGTCCTTTGGTCCGGTCCTGTTCTAGAGAGGTGTCATCTCTATTAGAGAGTTGCTGATCATTGTCGTCTTCGTTGGCACATTCCGAATCGATCTGTTCTTCTGCTACACCTGACCGGCAGCAAGAAAGAAAAAAAAAATTCCCCTTTTTTTTCCATCTCAATTGACATCGAATCGGAACTATCATAATTGTGTAGAACTTATCGCATTGAATTTCAAATGTCTTGTATTTTTACAGTATTAGAAGAGAACTTGATGTTACTAGTCAGCATCTGTTTGGATTTTTGTGTGTGCACAGCTATTTTTTTCTGCATTACGTCACCTTGGTATCTAAACACATGGGCCGTATTGTACACCAAGTTCACCAACTATAATAGTATGTTGCTGAAGTGTTGAATGGGGTCCTTATTACGAAACTACAATCGTTATTAATGAAAATAAACTTTACCTTCGCTGAGATACAGGTCTACAAGGTTGACCAACTTGGCAGCGTGCAGTGCCTTCGTTAGCTCAATCCGCTCATCTTCCCTGGACACACCTCTTCTCCATTGTTTCAGTATATGGCGAGTTCCATCACTGGTAATACGGTTGAACCTCATATTGGTCATGAGCGCTCTCTGTATATCACCTTGTAGGATTCCCAGCTGACCAGCAAGGCTGTCGATCTTGGCTTCATCGTAAAGATCGTCAGCTATCTGCTGTAATATGCCTGCAAACTCATCATCTGGGGGCTCCTCTCTAGAATGGTACATGGTAACAAAAAAGACAAACATGGGGCGGTCATAGAACGTAGGTATGACGTATCAACTTAAAAAGTAATTGAAATCTTTACTTCGGTGAAGAAAAAATAGCGGGAAAATGCGTTCATCCTGTGATGAGAACATGCTCAAATTACTTATTTTATATTCATAAAAGGATTTCACTTTTAACTCTAATTACCATAGACTTTAATGCAGCCAAATTCTCATATTTTTTTGTTAATGAGTTTTAATCTTTTACTCACTTTTGGTTCTACATAATCACATGTAGATGGTCATAACATTTATAAACATGATTTTGCATCCATAGAACATAAGCGCTGCCGTACTTGTATAATTGTTATTGACATTTTAGCACCACTCATTTAACACACAAAAGTACATTCCATAACAGTGTTGTCACAATAAGATAAATAATGCGTCCATTGTCATGTTAAGAGTAAATATATTTCATCTCACCCTGATTGTAATATATGACTCCTTCCCAGTCCTCCGGTTGAATTATCCACAAAAGATGATGTGCCTGTCATGACGGAATGAAGTAAGTTTGAATAAAGAAAAAAAAAGAAAAATATTTTTTACTGATCTTTATCGTTCAATGTATCTCTATGTGTTATTTTAACTTGTAAAGTATAAATAATGCACAAGCATGTAAGCTCTAGCGTCCTTGGATAATATAATCGAATGGTGTTACTTTTGGCATAATGACAACTAAAACAAACAAGACATATATCAATTTAGATTGCGGACCATATTAGACTTGATAAGCTTCACATTATCAATATTTTAACAAGTAACCAAAGATGGAATAGGAGTTATGTAGCATATTGTAGATATCAAAATAGGAGTTGGAAAGGGAAAATGAGATTGGAAAGTTAAGTCTTACCACCCTGAGCTTGTTTTCCAGAATTCACCCAAGGAATGAAACTCCATTGATGTGTCTCTGCTTTCTTCTTCTGCTCTGCTGATCGTATCTCACTTTCTAGTTGAATTTTAGTTCTCAGCTTCCAGGTCTCACGCTCAAGTTGCTCCAAAAGCTGTTCCTTATAGTCATGCTCCTTCTTTAGCTCTTCAACATGCTGTCTTAGAGTCGTCTCATTTCGTTCTTTCTCCCTTACGGTTTCTATCAAAGTGTCTACGCGTTGTTGCTGAGAGTCGAGTTTCTTCGTCATATCTGCTGCCAATGAGCGCTTCTCTTTCTCAGATCTTGCTCTGTCTTGCTTTCTTCCTTTCTCTAACTCTTTAACTTGTTGTGTCAGCGTCGTCTCATTTCGCTCTTTGTTCTCTACGGTTTCTGTCAAAGTGTTTACATGCTGTTGCTTAGAATCGAGTTTCTTCCTCATTTCTTCTTCCAATGAGCGCTTTGCTTCCTCAGATCTTCCTCTGTCTTTTTCAGCTTTTACTCTGTCTTCCTCTCTTCCTCTCTTTAGCTCCTCAACTTGTTGTGTTAGAGTCGTCTCATTACGCTCTTTCTCACCTACGATTTCTGTCAAAGTGTCAACTTGCTGTTGCTTAGACTCAAGTTTCTTCGTCATATCTGCTGCCAATGAGCGCTTCTCTTTCTCAGATCTTGCTTTGTCTTCCTCTCTTCCTCTCTTTAGCTCCTCAACTTGTTGTGTTAGAGTCGTCTCATTTCGCTCTTTTTCTCCTACGATTTCTGTCAAAGTGTCTACGCGTTGTTGCTTAGACTCAAGTTTCTTCGTCACATCTGCTGCCAATGAGCGCTTCTCCTTTTCAGCTCTTGCTCTGTTTTCTTCTCCTACTTTCTTTAGCTTCTCAACTTGTTGTGTTAGAGTCGACTCATTTCGCTCTTTCTCCCTTACGGTTGCCATCAAAGTGTCTACATGCTGTTGCTTAGACTCAAGTTTATTCGTCATTTCTGCGACCAATGAGCTCATCTGTTTCTCATACCTTGCTCTGTCACCTTCGTGAAGGCATCCATGTAGAAGGTCAAGCCACTGGAACTGTTCCTCATCTGATTCACAGTCAGCAGTTCTTTTTACTTCGTACATATCAGTGATCCCGAGATGCTTTAATTCATTCCTCGCTTCGGCGATGTCTCTGCGATGAAGTATAGCACATAGAGGGACGCGGCCTATCCAATCGAAACATATTCAACGGGTTAAACTCGACATAACGTCCAAAATCATGATATTTTTATGACATCTGCATACCACACCTACGTCACATAATATCCTTTTTTCTTCCAGGGGGGGGGGGTGACACAAACGAATGTAAAAAATCTGAAAATCTGAAATGCTTCACTCAAAACTCACATCTTCCTTCAGACATTTAAATGCTAACTTTATTGGAGGAGCTCGCGCCTTTGAATGTTTTTGAAACAGATAAATGGCGCCATACAAATGCTGTGAATCATCATCATCATCATATATGTGTGTTTTTATCAGTATTCTCAGTGGCATATCATTTCCTGCCATATTTAAATTTTGAAAAGAATGGGCAAAATCGAGTGAGAAACGTAGGAAGGGAGAGAGAGAGAGAGAGAGAGAGAGAGAGAGAGAATGATGATAAAGGAAGGAGACTGAAGATGAGCCGGTATAAAGAGTAAATGAAGTGAGTAATGAGATAGTAATACATTTAAAACTATGATAATGTAAATGAAATGTAATATACTTGTGGTAGGAAAATCAGTCGGGACAATCATGTTATAATAGACTGATGATGTTGTTTATGATAAAAAAAGGTTGAAATAAAATTGGGAAATTTAAAGATCGGTAGTTAGTGAAAATTAATTGATAAATAAATGAATGAAATCAAGACTAAGAATGGCTCGATTCAAATATCATCGGTATTGGTGTAGGCATTGCCATAATTATATTTAACTTTAATCCCCCCCCCCCATGCCTCGGCTCAAAGTTAGAAACCTGTATATCCAGTACAAGGGAAAAGGATATTAAGCACCAAATTGCATGAAATAATATACAAGCATATAAGTGGAAGGTATATTACTATTTTATGCCTAATTTATGTTTCATCCAAATATAATGTCAAAGTCGTTTCAGATATATTACTTATGTTTAAATTGTTGACTGTGGATCGTCAGATCATGGCCGTAGTTAGTGAAAATTAATTGACAAATAAATGAATGAAATCAAGACCAAGTTGGGCTCGATTCAAACAATATCGGTAATGGTGTAAGCATTGCATTAATTATATTTAACTTTAATCCCCCCATGCCTCTGCTCAAAGTTAGAAACCTGTATCCAGTACAAGGAAAATGGATATTAAGCACCAAATTGCATGAAATAATATACAAGCATATAAGTGGAAGGTATATTTCTATTTTATGCCTAATTTATGTTTCATCCAAATATAATGTCAAAGTCGTTTCAGATATATTAGTTATGTTTAAATTGTTGATTCTGGATCGTCAGATCATGGCCGTAGTTAGTGAAATTTAATTGATAAATAAATGAATGAAATCAAGACCAAGTTGGGCTCGATTCAAATAATATAGGTATTGGTGTAAGCATTGCCATAATTATATTTAACTTTAATCCCCCCCCCCCATGCCTCGGGTCAAAGTTATAAATCTGTATCCAGTACAAGGAAAATGGATATTAAGCACCAAATTGCATGAAATAATTACAAGCAGATAAGTGGAAGGAATATTTCTATTTTATGCCTAATTTATGTTTCATCCAAATATAATGTCAAAGTCGTTTCAGATATAGTATTTATGTTTAAATTGTTGACTGTGGATCGTCAGATCATGGCCGTATGTCTCACACGTAGACCCATGTTCAGATGATTAAGGTCAACCATGTCAACACGGGAGCGGGTAGATGTTGGGGAAATGGTACATAGTACACACCATGCCTGTTTCAAATGAAGGTTTGTAAAAAAAAAAAACGCGTCACCAGGCGTCATATGACGTACATAAACCTAGGTATGTCGACAAACCTCCTTTGTGAATTCGGGCCGGTGAGTTTGTTAGCTCACCCGGTGTGATGGAGATGTGCGCATATTCGGGTATACATGTGTGGTCATCCATGCTGTGGTCGATGCATCATTGGGTGATTGTTTTCTGAGAGTATTTTGTAAATAATTCGATATATTCCATATTTGTTGTTGTAATCATGAATCAGTTATCTTTGTCACATTATATGAGGGGGCCTTAACTTAAGAAGCTGTGCTTCAACCAAGGTCTCCTCGTCTTTCTTTATTCTACATTGTACTGTTATGATTATACTCTATTATATTTTGTCACATGTGTTTTCTGGAAGACAAATAAACTTGATACTTGATACTAGCTACTTGATTTATTGTATACATGTCCCAACTTTCTTAAATTTTACTTCATTGTGTATATGTGGATAGGCCATGTTTTTGTTGTATATCCTTAATTTCTTTCTTTCTCTCTGTTTATGTACAGGGCTTTATGGTTGAACACGATTGTGAATGAGCTACCCTGTTTTTTTAAATATGTGAATAATGATTACCACAAAGAAATTGCTTGTAGAAATTTGATTCTGATATAAATCGAGTAATAGTTGTTCCTCGTTTCTTTCATATTCCATTCATTACTGATGAAACATTATTGTGTAGCAGGTGTCATTATTGTTAGATACCTACACATGTAATAACAGTGTAAATAACACAAAACACCATATACGTAAACAAAGTTAAACAACCTACATAATGATTCATGTGTTATAGAATTCTGGCTAGTAACATTATTTATTGAATTAATCATTATTTTAACTAATAGGGTGGTGTATATCCACGCCTTGTGGTCTATACTGTGTATCAACAGTGCAATCTTTTATAAATTCAAACCTGTTTAAAGATAAACCTTCATATGTCTTCACTTTATGATCCTACCTACCATAAAAAATTAGTGGCAAACTCACCTGTAATCCTCTTTACTATCTCGATCCTCTTTTGGTAAGAATCAATATCAAGCGGGCTAAAAATAAAAATAAGAAAATACACCGATTCAGATCGTCATTATTCACGTGGTGATGATTGAAGAGTTAATGATTGAATTGAATTGAATTGAACCAAGGTTTATTGAAAAAACATGTGTCGCAGCCCAATGGCTGAATTGATCATGTGTACAAATAAAACACTCATTGCATGTTTCAAATATAAAATACAGTTACAAATAATTTGTCAATATTGAAGTACATGCATACAGTGTTGTATATAGTTACTAAGATACGATTGCTTGGGCAGCAAAAATAAGAAAACAGAATATAACATGAAGTCCGGAAAACGGAGAGGTGAAACATGAAGAAAAAAGTATAAGAGGAAGTTGTAAAAAATGCATGTGCATCACAAAATATAAATTGCATACATTTATTTTTAATGATATTAACATGATTCTGCAACCCACCCCCACCAAAGGCCACCTCAAAGAAGATAACGTGTATGAAATTGTTATACACTACACTTATAATAATTGTTCATTGTGTTCTAACACGTCAACCCTATACGCAAACCTTAAGCATATCACAATGAAATTGTTCTCGCTCCGTGGGTACGCACCATCGAATGCTTGAAGATTAATTAATTAATTAATTAATTAATTTATTTATTTATTTATTTTGTTTTATTTACCCAGGGTAACCCCATCAGTGAGTAAAACACCGTTATACTCGGGGGCCTTGATGCTATGTTTCTCAGCACCGTAAACATTCTGTGTAGAATAGAATAGGCATTTTATGAGTGGGCAGGTGCTTCCATTTATCAATGGATGGGGAAATACTTCTTGCGCCTAAATTACAATAAATAATGTTTAGTAAAGCTTTCAGTTATAACAGGTCTGAAATGCAGTTTCACCCTTCTTTCCGTATTGTACTTAAATGGATGCTACGATCCTTAACATTACACACGCACAACAACAACAACAACAGAAATGATAGGCGTATTTTGCATATACCCTGTCTTTCAGAGGCGTTAAATGCGAGGGCCATTAAACATGATAAAGGGGACGGCTAATTCGTTTCTGCCCCTCTTGTAGTATAATGAATATATTTTATTACTGTGAAAATACAACGCTTCAACATGCAACTATCTGACTTTTTGTTTGTTTGTTTGTTTGTTTCAAGTAATCGATTTCGACCCCCTCAGTGAGCACCTTCTCAAGACAGAAAGAAATGTTGTTAAATGACGTGAAATAGCGTTGATGTATATCACTAATGCCGTTTTTGGCTCTATAATGTAAAATATTAACATTCTTAATATTCGGTCACTACACTCTCTTGCAAACCAGGTGATGCAGTACTGCGTGTACATTATAAACCCTGTCTCAACAGGCCCCAAAGTCTAAATTCGGGGCAAGTGCTAATCTTTACAAAAGGAGGTAGGAACTTGTTTTTCTCGTACATTTTTTTTTCTTGTGTGAAACCTACTCTTATATAATATTAAAAAAAAGAATATACACTGTTGTTTTATGTAAAATGTGGAATAAATAAAACTTCACAACTTCAAGACAGGACAATTATACTCACTATTTTGCCCCCCCCCCCCCCTCGAAAAAAAAAAAGTTGGAAATACACACTTTGATGATTCAAAATCCGATTTCCGTTGCTAACTTGGGCGCGACGTTCTCGAGCATACTTATAGATAGAAATATTTCCAAATACTACACACCTTATGCCAAGGCCTTGGAAGTGTGCAGATAGGGGCTTACCGTATGAAGGGGGAAAGGTTTACGCGTATTATTATACATGTAATTCATCTTTAAAAATTGCAGTATATCGATAAGTTTTAAGCGCTCTATTCTAAATCTATTTCTGGCTCCTTGCACCTATGTAAATCGCGTATTAATACAGGGAGTATTTCTTATCCGTGTTTAACTGTAATGAGGGGTAGGGCACAATCAATTTCGCCACCCTCTCACAACACACAAAGTGCTATATTTAGCTGAAAGCTCTATCTGCTGAGGATGGCATATGCTCAATCTCATTATCATAATTTCGAAGTAGGTTGTGATTTGTCCGTGTGTGTAGATGTAGTCTTGATTGAATTAATTACAATACCGTAGAAGCGTGCGAGGGAGTTTTATTCTCGCTCGGTCGTTACGCTTACGCGCCTCGTAATAAACGTTCTTCAAAATGATAAGATCCTAAGTACTATATGAAAGTGTTTTATTAG